TCAGAGGCGGTGCGGTTGGCGCAGGATAGAGTAAGGTTTAGGGCTGTTGTGCATAGGGTCGCTATGAGTCGGAAACGACTCGACGGCACATAACACCAACAACAATGCAGGATTCTCTTCCTGGAAAATGTGCACTAGAGAATTAGTTTCTTACCAACAAAATTGCATTCACTTTACCCTTAATAGTCAGTTTTTAAGTTGGAAATTCCTCCCTTGATTGTATAAAATTACCATGGTAGATTGTGGAAAATGAGTTCAAAGATATTTTAAGGTATTGGCTCGCTTTGGGATTCTGTGTTGTTTGATTTTGAACCTTGTAACGGTTCACTAAACTATTCTCAAAATTAAAAATTCTTGTATAGTTATTCTCTAAAATATATATATTTATAATTCCTGCCACAGGCATAATTAGCATAAGGTCATGCGCAAAACAGCCAGTCCCTGGCCTCCTGGAGTTTACAGTTTAATGTCAAGTGAACAATACATAATCTTATCACTAAAATTGTTGATAATGATAGTAATACAAAGAAATTGGAAAGAATGATGAGAAAATACAACAAACAGAGAAGCCTAATTTATGAGAAGTAAGTGAGGAAGTTATATTTAAATGAGGACTTGAAGGCAGAATAAAAGTTAGACCAGAGGACATTGTTCAAGACAATGAGAACAGCGTATGAAATGACACTGAAACAGGACAGTACGCTACACATTTGAAAATCGCCAGTTATGACAGGAGCATGGTTCAGAATATGAGCTGTAAATAATACAGATTGCAGGAAGATAGTGTTATTTTTATTATCAGTTTATTTGAGTGGTGATAAGGAGAGTCTGTGAAAGGGAGATATTGATGATGGACAAGCAGTTTGGGTTCTTGCTGTACCATTGAGCTCAATGATCATTGTTGTGTTGTTGTGTACGTTAGAGTTGGAACCGACCCGTAGCTGATCCTTTGGCAGGTTTTCAGAGGCAGTTCATTTCATGGGGGAGATTGTCCATCCTTTTACCACAGAGCAGCTAGTGGCCTTGAACTGTATTCCTTCAGGATTGCAGCAAAGCTACATACCACTAGGCCACAAGAGCTCCCTATGTGATCATGTTGTTGTTTTTGTTTAATGCTGTTGAGTCGTAGACGACTCATAGCGACCCTATGAACGAACAGCCTGAGCACTGTTGGTACATAGAGTTTCCAGAGGCAAGCCATTTTGGAAGTGGATGCCGCTCCTGCTTCCAGGCTTGATTTAGTCGGGAAGCTCCAGCCAACACTGTCCACCATGGGTGCCCATTACCACGACTGGCACATCACTGTCGCAGGCTTCAGCATCACAGCAACCACGAGTTACCTCTGTACAGCAATGCACAGACCAGTGCTATACCACCTAGAAGAATGTTTGACAGGAAGACAATTTGAACCTGGCCGAGGGCCACAGATGACAATCACCCACCTTCGGCTTGGTAGCACAGCTTCCTTCCACTAGGCCAATGTAGCTCTCTTTTGGTTGTCGTCATTATGTGATCATAGGCAAACTAAAAATTCTCAGAGCCTTAATTGCATGATTTATAAGTGAGCCAACTGATCTCTGTCACAGACTTATCACATATCTGTCTTCTATAAAGGCCTTTTCATTCTTTGATTCAAAAAATACTGTTAAATTCTGTTAAGAGGCAAAGTGAAATCATACCTATGTTAAGATAAAGTATTTAAAGACAGGTTATTTGACATTCATATATCTATACAGTGTAATTTTCTTGTGGATTATGTTATAGGAAGGAGGTGTCAGTGGTTTTCTTCATGCTTTTATCGCTGAAGTCTTTGCAATGGTGAGAGCTCATGTTGCTGCATTAGGAGGGAATGCTGTTGTCTCCTACATAATGAAGCAGTGTGTCTTCATGGAAAATCCAAACAAAAACCAGGTGAGACTTAGTTAAAATCTCTTGTGATAACGTGACAATTGTTCCCATGGCCCTTCTCTGCCTAGAAGAACAATTACTCATTGGAGCACTTTGATGCTAGATTCTTTAAAGATATTTACTTTTTTAGTCTCCACTGAAGGCCTATTCAGGTACTCTTCCCACCATCTTCTCTGTGGGTGTTGGGGTTCAGTTAACAGCTAACCGAGAAGAGCGCAAGATGTTGCACCCCAGGTTCAGAGTCTGGCTGCTCATAGACTGTGTTGCTCTTCACTTCTAGCTGAGATGCTGGTGAGGAATAGACATACCACAGTGGGGCACTGCTTGTTTATTGCTAATAAGTGATATTTTGTTGAAGGATGTTGTTTTAGTTAAACTTCGGAATAATCAAAATTATTAAAGGTTTCATAAAATTAAATAACTGAGATGTCTCAGAGGCAGTGCTTGCCAGTAATTTTCTCTTCATGGCTCACATTAAAAAAAAAATCATTTGTGTGTCACACTGCATAAATTGGATGAAATTGCTTGTGGCTTCAGGTAAATAGCTCTGGGTTTCTGACCCAGGGGGCTCCCTGAGAAAAGAGGGGATAAATATCTTTGCAAACCTTGGTGAACTTTGTAAAGTCTATTTGCTAATTCTTTGAGTAGGAATGAGAATGAGTAGTTATGTGCATATATGAATATGTATCTCTGTCTGTATGTATTTTCTCAGCTTTTTATCTAGTTGTCAGGTCAAAACTAATTACCATCAAGTTGGAACTGACCATAAGTGACTCTCCATTGGATTTTTCAGAGGCTATAAATTTCATGGGAGAACATAGCCCATTTTTCTGTTGAGGAACCATTGATATATCTGGGGCACAGCCTTAGAGTAGTAGCATAACTCCCTACAGACTGTGCCCCCCACCAGAGCTCTCTTATACCCAGCTAACTGTAACCAAACACAAATGATCTATGTTTTCAGTGTCCCAGTTTTTCATTCGGAATGTTTTCTTGGTGAGGCTACCAATTAGATTATATAAGCGATTTGAAGATACATTATAAAGATGCACAATGAGCTTAGCTTTACTTTGAAACCATTAGGATTTTATGAAGGTGTAATCTAAGAAGGATGCTACTTATTGAAGTTTTTTAAACTTTTCTTGGCCCGCTTTAGTGTATGTGTTTTTGTTGTTGAGCTATATTATCTTTTGTTAGTAGATGGTGAGTAAAAATAGTAATACCTTGAAATGAAGACGACCAGCTTACTGACAGATCTTGGAACTCAGCTTAAAATGTCATATATTAAAAATATGATTGAAACTTCTGTGGACCAGTCCACTGCTGCTAACCAACCCTCTTGATTTTGTTTATCATTTTCTGTTTACCTTCAAATTTTTATCATTACATATGTTTGTACGCATAGTATACCACAACATAGATGAACCTCGGAAACATGCTGAATGAAGGTAAGTCAGTAGCAAAATGACAAATACTATCTGATATTACTTATTTGAAACAAGCAAATAGAGACCAAATACTACTGGTAGTTGCTGGGTTGGCAGGGATTGATAAAAAGGATCTCTTTGCTTAATGGTGCTGAGCTTGGTGCCTTGGTAATGGAGAGAATTAGAAAAGGACAACAAGAATGGTCACATAACTTGGAGAATGTAACCAATTGTTTTGTTATTTGTAATGTCAACACATTTGAAAAGAAGTAGAAAAATGTTTCTGATGAATTTTTGTGTAGATAGTACATACAGTGTATGGTTCACAATTTAAAAAGTATGCAAGCATATTACTAAGGTATTAATTTGAGAACTCTCCCTGTCTTGTGTCCTGGTTGAGAAGTTTTCCCCTCCACACACAACCAGAGTTAGTAAGTATGTGTGTGTGTCTGTATGAGTGCACCTAATAGTGACACAACACTCTAGAAGATATAACATGACAGAGAGGTTTTGGGTGCATACAAGCAAATGTGTATGCTTTTATCTCCTTCCTTAATGGTAGCATTGTAATATGCATTGTTCTACAGCTTGCTATTTTTCTTAATTTTTGTAAGAGATGTTCCATTTCAGGGCATAAAGAGCAGTTTGATTTTCTGCTGTAACCATAATACTCTGTCAGGAGCTCTGGTGGCATAGGCTATAGGAGGTTGCACTGCCAACCCAGAGGTAGCACCTGTCTGGCAGTTCAAATCCACTAGCACCTTCTCGGAAGAAAGGTGATCAGTCTCCTCCAGTGTGGCTTATAGCATCCAAAAACCTATTAGAGGGTCAACTGTAAGTTCTGATTTGACAAAGACTATGGCATTTTCAATTAAGCCATTTAATGGTGATGATAGCAGCTAACAACAACGATGGTGATGAGCAAAGATTTCTTTAATTAATTACCCACTGAGGAGCATTTAGAAATGTTTCCAGAGAATGTTAGTCATTACATACAGTGCAGTTGGCATAAGTAGGAGAGTATCTGTAGAAAGGATTTCTAGAAATTGAATTGCTTGATTAGTGCACTTGTACTATGCCTTTTCCCCTCCACTGAGGTTATTATTGGGTGCATTTTTTAACTCATACAGATGATCTCCTATTGTATTTAACACTCTGCAGCTTACTTTTTTAACAAATAAAGATCTGTATTGATACAGTCTTACTTAATTTCCTTTCACTTCTGTGTAGTACTTCAGGCATTGCCATAATTTATTTCCATTCTCCTATAGATGAGCATTTATTGGAACATCTGTGTAATGTAGCAATCTATGGAAACATAGATTGTTTCCATTCTTTTGTTCTTACAAAGTATACTACAGTGAAGAATTGTACTCAACTTTTTGCATAAATGCTAATGATTTCCATAAGGTACAGATACATTAAAATGGAATTATTGGGCCATGAGATGTGTGGCCTAGTGAGTGGTAAGAATCTCCACGGCACTACCAAAAGCATCTGGTAGCTCAAATCTCTTTCTCCCTTGGAGCAATAGGTAGATGTGTATTGCATGCCTTGAAGATTGCACCATATCTTTTTACCACTAGGTCAGTTCTCCAGATGTTGCACTGTTCTCCTACATCTGCCAGCGCTCACTAACATTTAACTTTTAGTTTTTCCCTGTATGTGTGCAGTGGTTTCTCATTGTTTTAAATTGTAAATCTCTGAAAACTTAATGGACTTCACTGTATTCTCATACATTCTTTTTTTCTCCCTTCCATTTCCTGACTTTTTACCCTGACTGATTTTCCTGTTGAATTTCCTACTGCCTTGTAAGCCTGTACTTTTTCAGCTGTGTGGTACGACTCCACACGTAACAAAAGAGTAAGAGCATGTCATTGAATTTGTAACTGAATACATCCTGTTGTTCTTCTAGGCCCAGTGTCTTATAAATGTAAGTGGTGATGCAGTGGTTTTTGTGCGTGAATCTGAATTAGAAGTGGTATCAACTCAGCAGCCTACTGCCAACTGCCAGCCTACATGTGCCAGAGGAGAAGTTACAACCTGAAGTCCATCACCAAGAAAGCTCAACCAAGTGAAAATCTGTTTCCATTGTTTGATCATTCACTGTCTTCATAAATGTACAAAATAATAACTTGAACTAAAGAGAGAGAAAGAAGAAAAAATTGGTCATCTTGACAAGATTTGATTTGTCTGGCATCTCTTAGAGGCATGAGCTTGTGTACTGTTTACTTTTATTTACTTAGGCAAGATGGAAAAGTCCTGTGGAATCTTGCCCCTTTGAGAAGATAAACTTCTCAGAGATTTTGACACAGCAAAGATGAAAGCGATTTGTAATTTGTTGATTTTAATAAAATCATAATTTAAAAGAGGAAAGGGGAAGATTACAAGGAAACTGGTGTAGCTCCTCTTGGGTACTTAGAGAAATTAAGCAACAAATTCACAAATTATTAGTAGATAAAATGTCTGACTTAAAGAATGTGTGGATAAAAGTCTTTAGAAAACTACTAAGTAGGTTTCTTAATATGTTTTATTGTCAGGTAAAATTTGGTATCAACTGAAAGGAAAAGGTACTTGAGCTGTCTTTTAAAACAAATCAATATTCTACAGCTCTTACATATAATGTGTCCTTACTACTATAAAAGAAAATAATTTCTCAGAACTGGTGCCCTTTCATTTTATATTTAAATATATCTCTAAAGATGAAGAAGTAAAAAAAATTACTACATGATTTCATAACTGGCCAAATTTCAGTTAATATTTCCTTTTTTGCAAAGGCACGTGGCTTTAGCTGGGAATAAAAGGTCAGTGAATTTTGTTGAAAATATAATTGATCTAGTAGGAATATATAATTATTTTCTAATAAAGCACTACTGCACTCCTACCAAGCAAACAGATCTTAGTAATATCTTAGAGTTTTGATGGTGGCTTAGTTGTATTTGGCATAGAATTGAAAATGTAACTTGAATGTAAATATGCTGCAAATGTTGAATGTACAACTAGAAATATTTTTTTTCTCTCAATGCCAAATACCCGTTGTAAATGAACCTTAAAAATCACATTCCTCCTTTGCATAATAAAATTTCTTTTTACTATAAACTCATGATTTTACTTTCCAAGATAACAAACTGCCCAAAAAATTATGAATCATTTCCTTGTTATCACAGGTGTCAGTATTTTTCTGTATTTTGTTTATAATTTTATTTTTTAAATAAAAGATTTATAAAAACAAATTATTCCTAAATATTTTTTGCCTTCTTTTTGCAGTATTAGTAGTCTGTATGACTTTTCATCTTACTATCTCCATCCATTCCTTCAGTTAACAAACATCTGTTGAGCACCAATAGTGTGCAAGACCCTGGTTTTAATTTTGAGAACATATAAATATAGTTGTGACATTTTGTGTAGGTGGTTACTTTTGTTAGATGCCATTGAGGCAAAGTGACCCAGTGAACATTGGATCTGAACCCCATCCCATCCTGTGCCATCTTCACACTTCCTGTTACACTAGAGCCTGTTGTGACAGTCATTGTGTCATTCCACCTAGTTGAGGGTCTGCCTCTCCTCTGACCTTCCACCCTTCCAAGCATCACTTTCTTCTCCAAGGAATAGCCCCTCCTAGCAAGATGCCCAGAATATGTGAGGGGAAGCCTCATCGTCTTTGTCTCCACAGAGTACTCCATCTGCACCATCTCTTAGACATATTTATTTGTTCTTTTGGCCATCCATGGGATTCTCAGTGCTTTCTCCAACACCACAACTCAAACGCATCAATTCTTCTATTATCCCTATTCATTGTGCAGCTCTCAGATGCATAGGAAATGATCAGAAAGACCATAGCCTGAATCGGATGTACCTTAGTCCTCAAAGTGACATCATTACTACTCAATAATATGGAGTGGTATGTCTCCTGATTTCTAGACTGCTGGTACCAAGGGTTTTAATTGTGATTCCAAGAAGATGAAGTTGTTGACAATTTCAGTCTTTTCCCTCCACCATGATGTTGTCTATGAGTCCAGTGGTAAGAATCTTTGTTTTCCTAATACTGTGATTTTTAATTTCTTGACATTAGTTCTGTAGGTAGGTTTCATTAACTGCCTATTATATCCTAGGGCACAGTTTTAGGCATTAAGAAAAGAAAATATCTGGTCTCAAGGAGCTTACATTTCTGTATCTCCACAAATGAATAATTTGTAAAATTTTATGTATAGTAATAATACTAATTAGAAAAATCAGTAAGGGACCTCTCCAGAGTGCAGGAAAGTAATGTTAACAGTTTGAAAACTAAGGTGCACCTGATTGAAACCATGATGTTTTTGATTACTTGGTATACAGTTGAAAATTAGATAGTTACAGAAGAAGAATTGATGCCTTTGAATTATGGTGCCAGAGAAGAGAGCTGAATATCCCATGAACTGCCAAAAGGACAAATACATATGACTTGGAAAAGATGTATTTAGGGTGCCCCTTGGAGGCATCGATGTTAAGTGCCGTCAAGTCAACTGTGACCCATAACGACCCTCCGTACAACAGATCTGAACCCTGCTCTATCCTGTGCCAACTTTACTGTCTGACACATCTACCTCCATTACTCCAGTCAGTGAATCAGTCCGTCTCATCAAGGATCTTCCTCTCTTGGATCTTCCTCCACCCTCTCCAAGTACCATCCCCTCCTTGTAACATGCCCAAAATATGTCAGAGGAAGCTTCAGAATCCTTATCTCCAAGGAGCAGCCCGGTTTCACCCTTTCCAGGATTAGCCTGTTTTCCTAGCAGTCCATGGTATATTCAGTACTCTTCTCTAGCAGTACAGCTCAAAGGCATCAATTCTTCTATCATCCCTAGTCATTGTCCAGCTTTCTGACGGGTAGCAAGTAAATGTGAAGACTTGGGCCTGGATCAGGTGCATGTTAGTCTCCAAACTAACATCGTTTTTCAGGACTCTGGAGAGGTCCCTGACAGCAGACTTTCCCAATGCAGTTCATCTTTTAATTTCTTGGTTTCTGGTACCAAGAGTGGTGATTGTGGAGCTAAGCAAACTAAAGCTGTTTACAATCTCAGTCTCTTTATCGTCTATCATGATGCTGCTAATTGGCCCAGTGGTGAAAAATCTTTGTTTTCTTGATACTGAGTTTCAGTCCCTATTGAAGACTGCAGTCCTTGACCTATATAGCAAGTGCTTCCAGTTCTCCTTCGTTTTAGCAAGCAGAGTTGTGTCATCTGCTTAATGCAGATTGTTGATGAGTCTTCCTCCAATCCTGATGCCATATTTCTCCTCATAGAGCCCAGCCTCCTGGATGACCTCTTCTGCATATAAATTGGAAATGTATGAGATAGAACACATCCCTGGAGTATACAACTTTCCCAATTATGAACCATGCAGTGTTTCCTTACTCTGTTCTGACTACTGTCTCCTGATCCAAGTGTAGGTTATGCATAAGCACAATCTGTTCTGGGTTTCACTTCTTCTCAAGAGTTAGCCACAGTTTGTTGTGATCCACACAGTCAAATGCCTTTGCATAGTCAATGAAGCACAGACAAGGAGGCAAGGATAATGAAACTTTAACATGCTGTAGGCATGTTGGTACCAATCCTTGGAATAGGAAATCATGCTTGGAATGGTCGAGCAGAGAGGAAGACCCTCAATGAGATGGGTGACAGTGTTTATTATGATGGACTTGAGTTTGTCAGAGAGAGGATGGCACATGGTTCAGATATATTTTTCATAGGGTTGCTATGAGTCACTTTGATAGCACAATATAATGGCTTTATACTAATGCTATCAAATCAGTCCTGACTCAGAGTGACCCTCAGTTACATTTCTAAGGTTATAAATTATAACAGGAGGAAGCTTCCATCTTTGTACTACAGAGGTACTGGTGGATTTGAACCCATGGATAAGCATGGCCTTTGCTAACAGTGAAGCTTGTGAACTGTGTTACTAGAGCTACTAATTATAATACTAAAAATACCTAAAGAAAAACACAACTCCCTACTGACCATGCCACCAAAGGTGCCTTATAATAATGTTGTTATGTGCAGTCGAGTCACGACTCATAGCGACCCTATGTACAACAGATCTAAACTCTGCTCTATCCTGTGCCAATCACACTGTGTTTGATACACCCATTCTGATTACCCCAGTCACTGAATCAATCCACCTCATAGAGGGCCTTCCTCTCCTGCGCCGTCCCTCCACCCTCCCAAGCATGATGTCCCTCTCCAAGGACCGGTCCCTCCTTAAAAAATGTCCAAAGTATGTTAGATGAAGCCTCAGAATCCTTGCCTCCAAGGAGCCACCGGTTTAACCCTCTCCAGGATGAATCTTTGTTTTCCTAGCAGTCCATGGTAACCTCAATACTCTTCTCCATCACAAAGGCATCAGTTCTCCTATCCTCCTTGGTCATTGTCCAACTCTCTGATGCATAACAAGTGATAGCAAAGACCATGGCCTGTATCAGACACACCTTAGTCTCAGAGTGACACCATTGCACTTCAATACTTTGGAGAGGTCCCTAACAGCAGACTTTGCCATCACAATACGCCTTTTAATTTCCTGGCTGCTGGTGCCAAGAGTGTTGACTGTGGAGCCAAGCAGACTAAAGCTGTGAACAATTTCAATCTCTTCACCATCCATCCTCATGCTGCCAATTGGTCCTGTAGTGAGAATCTTTGTCTTCTTGACTTTGAGCCTCAATCCATATTGGAGGTTGCAGTCCTTGACCCTCTGCAGCAAGTGCTTCAGGTCCTCTTCAGTTTCAGCAAGCAGGGTTGTGTCATCTGCATAATGCAGATTGTTGATAGATCTTTCACCAGTCCTTACCTCACATTTCTCCTCATAGAGCCCAGCCTCCCAGATAATCTGCATACAGGTTGAAAAGATACGGAGATAGGACACATCCCTGGCGTACGCCCTTCCCAATTTTGAACCATGTGGTGTTCCCTTGCTCAGTTCTGACGACTGCCTCCTGGTCCAAGTATAGGTTTTGCATTAGCACGATCAAGTGTTCTGGGATTCCCATTCTTCTCAGAGTCAGCCACAGTTTGT